GGCTCTCCTTGCTGGTTTCACAGGCTAAAAGCTTTGGCTTCCACACCAGAATTATTAGGGTCGGGCAGCCTGCCATGCGAACTACCCGTAAGAAGATGATGCTTGCAGAAGAGAAGAACCTTGACAGGCGAGCTACGTTTCAGAAAAATGCTAGGCTAAAAGGGATGCTATCATCTTAGCGAACTTCCTCGCCGGAAGTTAGGTGTACGAAAATGATGCTTGATTTCCAACTACCCCTAACCCCCTAAGCCATGAACTCTACCCGACACCTTGAGCCGCAAACGACACACGGTAAAAATCACAAATCCCGATATGGGCCTGAGCCAGTCAAAAAGGTCTAGGGTTCTTTGTACCCAAAACTTGCAGTTGACACGGCATTCCCTGCAACACCCAGCAAAGTTAGGCACTTCTTAGGGTATGTCGCAAAATTACATTCAAATTGTCATCTTCCTAAATGGGCTCCGGCTTAAAACCCCCTATATAACCCCAACATACCCCCGACATATCCCATATATATAACGCCAATAAAACCCCCCTATTCCGAGGATCACTGCGCATGGCCCGGCCTTAAGGTAGGACCAGTAGCCGATCAGCTTATCCAAGGTTCCCTTCCATTCTCCCTCCTTTGACTTGTTACCGTGCTTGCGGGGGACTGGATATAGGGACTCTTGTTGGGGATATATATTAGCAATTATGATGATTATGATTATGATAGGGATCCACTGCTCGACTGTCGCTAGAGGAACAGCAAGTTCAAGGAGGATTGGCCGAGGGGCTTCATGCGGCTTTAGGTCAGCATCTTGTGAGTACTTTCTAAACAGCCAGCACTGGCCAGCACAGCTCTGTTCCTAGACTCTCCACTTACCATGTGTTGGTCCTGAGTACTCACTATGAGGGGCCTCATATCTTCCGTTGAGGGTACTAGAGAGTCTTTATTTATTGTCATGCAAGCTCGAGGCATGGGCTCTGTTGCCTTAACATTCACCCTCAGAATTTGAAGATATAGGCATAAGATGATCTGAAGCAGAGCTCCTGGAATGCGCTTGAGGGTTGGGGCCTAGCACCCCGAAGCACATCAACTTTAAATATAAGATACTGCCCCACGCAAACCAGTCCCCAAGCTTATCCAGGTCTCCCTAAACCCTGAACCTCCAAAGCCTCATCATATCAAGCCTGGAACCCCAACACCAAAATCCTGAAACCCATCCGCGCAGCCTAGAGTCCTAACCTCTTTGCCCCACACACAGTGTATGTTGGTTTTGGGTTTCGAGGACATAGCTTATTGTGTACATGCTGCTTACCACACGATCACAGGGTAAGGTATCTGAACGGGGAAAATGTCAGGACGCTCGATGCTATTTCAATGCGGGATATGCGCCGGATCAACAATGAAGTATCTTAGCCTCGCCTAAGGAAAAAGTATCGAAAGCATGATTCTACAACAGCCCCACAACAGAAACATGCCCACAACCCTAAACTCTACATGATATTAAATATCCTGCAGGACCTTAATATACTATAAACATCATCATTCCAGAAGTATAATATCAAAAAACTGAGGATCATGCAGGAGCTTTCAATATCTAAGGCCTAAACCCGAAACGCTATAGAGTTCCGCGAGGCTCCTGTCGCAGGATCTTCACCGGGAAGGGCGCGTGGAGTTGTAGCAAATCGAGATTCTTGTGGTGCTTATTCCTCGGGGTTTCAGCTTTAATCACCTCCGCCCAATATACACGCAACAAACCCCTTACTGATAAGAATCCTCCTGCTATGTATTGGTACTAGTATTAAGACCATCCTCTTGTAAGATGTTGGTGCTTTTGTGGGTGGTATCTATTGTGAGAGCTGGGAGGGTTGAGACAACTCTGCACATCCCGCAGAATGCATGATGTGGGCACCTGACTTAGGACTAAGAGGCATAAGGATTAGGGAAAGCTTGACAGGTCCCTCGAAATCGGATTGCAGGCATCTCAACAATCATTTGCGCGAACGGCTTTGATTATTGTAACTTCCACCTAAAGTTTCCAACGTATGATGTTTCAGCACTAATAGCACACCCAACGCAACAGGAAATTCAGCCAACCAGTATGCATGAAGCATTATGTCTGGGATCCCTGTAAGAAATGGGTTCATGCCTACATACGGGTTGTATACAGGCCGGGCTTAGTGTTTAGGAGCCTAAACACACAAATTGTGGAGAATCAAATATACACCAAAAGCCATAACAACATGACAAGCGGGTTTATTGTAGGTTTATGCTCGAGGTGTAAAAGACAATTGCGGTTTGGGGCGTAGACTGGCTTACACGGCGTGGAGATATGGTAGCTTCTATTTACAGGCGGACCCCGGTAGAGAACCCATAAATATGTTTAATCCTGATTACGGCTTAAGGGTACCCCTAATTTTGGGAAAGCCACACATCTGAATAAATGGGAATACCATTAACTTTGTGGGCCCCTTAAAAGTACCCTTGGTTTTGGGAACATTCCCCCCCCCATACGGATGTTCCAGGTCTCTGCGCATAGAAACCACGGGTCTATCTAGTCCAAATGACCACTAGCAGCAGACCTGAATCTGGATCCGTTTTTGAGTACCAAATGACGGGACGTACCGTGGTCCCTTTTATTGCTATTTGAATACCCTATGACAGGACATACTGTGGGCCCCCTTCTTGCTTGAACTCTAGGCCCTAAACCCTAGACCACAATTTTGCATTCATGATGGCAATCCGTTTCCTCTCTGTCTTCCTATCTCAGCTGAAGAGGAGCATGCAGGAGGATGCGAAGCCAGACTCCCTGGTAAAGAGCAGATGATGACGATGATGATGATGATGATGACGATGATAGCAATAATATGTCACCTTCCAGAGCCCATGTGAGGGTACGGCATACAAGGTTCTATGTCCTCGTCCTCGTACTTTCGACTTGACAAGTAACTTACCTCTTGACTTGACCAAGACCGCAAGTCTTCTCAGGGATGAGCGCGTACACCACAATCTGCACGCTCGTGATACGCCTGGTTGCGTGGCTAGGCGGGAGTGTCTGGAGATGTTCAGAAAACACCGCGTGTCCTTTCACGGCTGTCACATCGGGACTGCAATGCATTTTTTTACATCTTTGAAACTAGGCAATTTTCGAAAACACGATCCCGTAGCTACATCACCCAGACTTGCAACACTAGGAAAACCAACAGATGCCGTAGTGAATGGACAGAATTTCTACATGGCCTTCTGAGGGTTAGCTTTCGGGGTTGCAAGTATTGTGTGGCTGGTCAAGCTGGTCAAGCTTCCTTTCTCGCTTGCAGGGTCGTGGGAGAGCAATGCACACAAGAACATTGAGCTATGGACCGTGGACCGTCGGCCCTCGTGCAACGCATACACTATAATAGCAGTAACAATAGTAGTTAGTAGTACTTATAGGAGTGATAATACCACGAACAATGATAATAGCAATCGTCATAGCAATGATAATGACAAATAGCAAAAGCACCAAAACCTCAAGAAGCATCAAACCGCGAGCTCGCACAGAACAATTGCGCTACAGTCCGAAGCGGACGTATGAGCGACAGTCAATATTGCCTACATAAGGTCATGGACATGGGTTCTTTATTAGGAACTACATCAGGAATTATACTAAACTACAAAAGGGACCCTTTATGTCTTTTATAAGGCGGACATTCACAGTAGCTCTTATGGCCTTAACAAGACTCCCCTTAGCCTCCTAGGCCCCAGTAAGTCTCTTTGAAAAACGGCCCTTGAAGCCGAATTGCCATGATGCAAAAGGCAACGTTTGCTTTCCTGAGGGCAACACTGGCAACCTCACGTCCAATAGCTTGAAACCGTACTGATGATTCTGATCAGGGTGGAAACCCTGCCCAAGACTTGATCCTGAACCCTCAAAGCTAACCTCCAAATCCTTGACTTGGCACTAAATCTTGAAGGTTTGTTGCCCTCAAGCCCTGAGCCTGAAGCCCTGAACCCTCAACAAGCATGTGCGCAGGGTGCCTTGGATAGGTTGCAAAGTGGATGGCCTGCCAAAGCTCATCTTCGCGCAGCCTCAGAGTCTGAAGTTGCTGGTTGCATTAATCAAGTAGAGAAGTAATAACGGTAACAATTATAATATTAAAAGTAGTTCTGGTAGTAGCAATAATAGTCATAATACTGGAAATAGCAAGAGCTAGCAGGGACCGAAGGGATAGAGAAGAACATGGAAACAACAATCTAGAGCTTGAGGTTCAGGGTTAAGGTAAAGAAAAAGACATAGAACCTACTTTCACTTACTTATTAGGCGCGACTACATGGATCCATTCCTCCACTCCTCCTTCCGCTCCGAACAACCAGTTTAGTATTCGGGGGGTTCAGAGGAGGGGTGTGGGTTTTGGAGGGCTTTGCGTTTTGTGTTTGGGGGGGATTAAGGGCTGAGTACCGCAAACCCTAAACCCTGAATCCTAAACACTGGATCCTCAAAGTTGTAGGAAACCCCAATGACTCTTGAAAAGCCACTGGCGGCCGTGGAACTGTGAAACCAACCCCTTGGCAAAAGGCCCCCCTGGTAGTATAAGGTTTAGTAGGGTTTTGGGTTTAGGGCTTAGGGTTGAGGGTTTAGGGCTTAGGGTCTTATGCTGAATGCTCCCTAAAAGCCTGCAATGCAACATGGGAACCCGTGCGCCCATCATCTCACAAACATACCTCAACACCCAAGAGCAGCTGCAGTAGAAGCAGCGGCAGAAGCCGCAGTAGCAACAGTAGAGGAGAAGTCTATAATCTCATGGTGATGAGATTGTGGCTCACATGTTATTCTTCACTACTGTTATTCACTACTGCTACGATGATGTTAATGGTGCTTGGGGTGATCTGATGCTTGTGCGGGCCACTACTCTGACCATTCTTACTATTATTATTACTATTATTTCCATTATTATCATTATTACTATTACTGCTACTATGAATATTCTTACTATTATTTACTCGGAGAGCAGACTGCCTTTTTCAATCATTGCGCGTCCGACCCTCGCTGGCCATCAGCTCGTCGATTTCCTCCTTGCTGCCAGGAAGGATGTGCGCTGGAGTAGTGTAGAAGTCCATAGTCCCCGTTAAGTAGATCGAATATAGGGTTTAGGGTTATAGTCCTCCTTAAGTAGATAGAATATTGAGTATATGCAGATCTGATTATAATGTACCCAAGGCCATATTCTATCTACTTAAGGGGGACCAGAAATTAAGTATGTCACCGTACAGGCACTGACCGTTAGTAGCCCTTAGATGCCTATACTACGTTACACCCCAGAGCCTTTACTGCATTTTCGCAGGTTCCTACACTATCATTTCAAAGAGAATGTTGGTCTTCTTCTTTGTGAGCCATAGTCTAGACTCCTGGTATCCCCCTTAGTTTATATCCCCTATAGGTGGCCCCCTACATAATCACTTGCATAGCCCCCTTTGAAGAAAGTAGACTATGGCTCATGTGTCTTGCGGCCGCACATGCGCTTGATATGATTTTAGCAGCCCCTAGGATCCTTGAAGACACGCTTTGGGGTTTGAGGTTTAGAATTTAGGGGTTTTCGGGTTGAGGATGGTTGAGGGTTTGGAGTTTAGGATTAGGTTTGAGGGATGATACATTCTGGGGTTTAAAGCTTACGGCTTGGGGTTTTGACCTTCAACATGTGTGGCCCAGGGGCCCGTATCAAACAAAATAGTGAACACTCAAACGGAGACATCGACTGGAATAAAATGAAACAGACACTGCCACGTTGTTTTATTTTTTCGGATCTAGGGGCTTCTCAAAACAGACGCCAAGAGGAATTACACAGGCATTCTAAAACACTGTTTCGGGCTTAGGGTTTTGAGGTTCTTCAACAGCAGATGTAGGGGATCATTCCGAGAAAATTCCAGGTGTCGCTTCGCAAGGTAGCTCCAGGATCCAAGAGGTATATGGGGGTTTCCCAACATTAGGGGTACCTTTTTGGGGTCCCTATCCGCCGACCTTGGGGGGCGTGTTGGATGGTTGCCGAAGGCGGAGAGGGTGAAAACCCTCTTCCTTTCTCCCTTACAACCCCCAAAATGCGGGGAGGGGGGGGGGGGAGGGGGGG